AATACGACACCTATCTAAGCATTCATATATAAAAGTATATGAGTTATCGCTGCTCTCCCTGCTCTCATCCATGCTAGGCTGCATGGATGCACAGGGAGTTCTTGCCCAGAACAGAACCATACCGCCAATCCAAATCGTATGCTAATTGACAATTGTCAATCATCTTTGACGATAGTGGTACTGCTAGAACTTTTGGATACTTCAAAAACATTACACTACTAAAAACCTTTTGCATAGTGCTCTAAATGCACTAATGTTAATCTTGCATAATATTAGTATGGACACTACAAATGGAGATTCAGCCACAGCATCTGCTCACAGCCACCTGTCGCTGTTCCCATCATGCTTTGTTTTCCTCCAGGTGAAGGCCGGACAAACTAGATGAGGCTAATGCGGTGGAGGTAATTGCACAGCGTATAAATTTCTCATTCCTCTCGCACTCATTTCAGAGCGACATTTCACAAAATGGGGCCTTGTTTTCCAGCGGCCAGCCGGATAAATTTCAATTAAAATGCCTGTCAGGATGGCTTACGTGGAACACGAAAATTAAAAAATAAATAAAATGACACATGAATATATGAATAAGTAAACAGCTGGCCGCATCATGTGGGACAAAAGAGGAATCCTCGCATTGTGATGTCAAGCAGGTCTGGACCAATCGCTAGAGGCGAAGGAGCAGCGCTCATGAATATTTATGAGTGCACGCAACAGACGGCTTGTGATTGTGCTCAATAAAATGCATGAATTTCATTCTGAAACTTGATGTGTCTCATGCAAACTAAGAAGATGTCGAATGCAACGGGAATCGAGAAATGGTAATTGGCGTAGAAATCTGTAGAGCGGATCTGATTTTGTGGCAAGCAGAGCAGAGACAGGCACAAAAAAACTGATCAATACCCAGCAGTTTTGGTGTTTAAAATGCTCTGAATTTCATTTCACACCAGACTTGCTAGTATATAAAGTCTCTCTAAAACTCAGGCCTGTCAAGTTAATTCTGGAAAACAGTACGACAAAATGCCACAGCCAAAAACATCTGTCTGGGTGTGTATTAAGATCAACAATTAATAAAACAGCGCAGATTAAACTTATCGGGTCAGAGAATACATGTTTGTCCATCATTAGTGGTCGACTAATCATTTGTCAACAAGTGACGCTGATATCAGTAACTAGGGAGCGGGGCAGAGGGTGACTAATATGATGTTGATATTTCGAATAATATTGCCTGCCACAATGTAATTCTAGAAAATAAGATGTACATAAATGTGCTCCATATACACACCCTGTATATTTCAAAACGGATACTACAATAGTTTTTATTAATATTTTGAATTAGTTTATATTTTTATATCTCATCTATATCTACATATTTTCATTTTAAATTTAGGTAGTTAATTCTGTAGTAATCTTGTTAATACCGGTTGTGGGGTTTATATTTAAATGTCTATATAATTTTATTAATTATTAATATAATTTATTTTAGTACATCAACTTAAATTAAATGAAAATGAGAAATGTTGCCGTGGCAACTAACTGGAATATGGACTCAAAAGTATGTTTAAGTTTTTTAGATTTTATTTCAGTTATTGTTTGTTTTATTTAAACTTACAAGAATGTGTTTATAGCTTTTTTATAGCTTTACTTCTAGTTTTAATTCATTATAATAACCCTGATCATGCACTGACAAGAGTGTAGGTTGATTTTTACTATGAGTTCAAGCGAAGGTTAACACTTTAGCTTAAATTAGGCTGGATGATGAATCCGTCTATCATTATCATCAAACACACACACTCAAAACAATCCATCACCACTCTCATGAGCAAAACCATCAGACTCTTTAGTAAAAAACACAAACACACACACACACCACCTGTCTGCATCTCATTGAAGTTCACAAGTGCGCACACACACCCACACACCATTCATCACTTTATAGCATCTAGTTAACAGGCCGTTTGGCAGGAGCAGGCCAGAGGCTATCATATAAACCCAGAGAGAGAAAGATGCAGAGTAAAATAACAAATCAAGAAGGAAAGGAAAATATACAGTGTAAAATAACAAATCAAGAAGGAAAGGAAAGGAAACAGTGTAAAATAACAAATCAAGAAGGAAAAGAAAGGAAAGGAAAAGATACAGTGTAAAATAACAAGGAAAGGAAAGGAAAAGATACAGTGTAAAATAACAAATCAAGAAGGAAAGGAAAGGAAAGCACACAGTGTAAAATAACAAATCAAGAAAGAAAGGAAAGGAAAGGAAAGGAAAGGAAAGGAACGGAAAGGAAAGGAAAGGAAAGGAACAGAAATGAAAGGAAAGGAAAGGAAAAGAATATTCCTATAACAGTAAATGCCTGATTTATTCATGTTGCAATGCACGCTGGGAACTCAAAAACGTCCTTAGGTTACGTATGTAACCATGGTTCTCCGAGGGAACGAGACGCTTCGTCGAGTCGCTTTGGGAACATCCTTGCGTGACCGCGTTCTGAAGCACGTGTCAAATCAGTCCAATGCAGCAGCGAGACGTCACAAGCGGGGTGACGTAAGCACCAGAAAGTATAAAAGCGCATCCAGCAGAGCGCAAACCAGCTTCGATGAAGTAGCGCCTGCAGGGATGCAGGGAGTATGGCAAAGAGACGCAGCGTCTCGTTCCCTCTGGGAACCATGGTTACATACGTAACCTAGAGACGTTCCCTTTCAGGAACTCGAGCTGCGTCGAGTCGCTTTGGGAACGAGAATACCCACTGCGCCATACTATCAAGTCCCTGCCTGTGTGTGTATCTTGCGAGCACATCACGAAGAGGGAACTTGGGAACCTGGGGTAGATGCCAGGTCTAGGTTGTAAAAACGGACAAAAGTGTGCGGAGAGGACCAGCCCGCCGCAGCACAAATGTCCTGCAAGGCCACACCCAAGTTGAAAGCCTTGGAGGCCGCCATACTCCTGGTCGA